GTGCCTGTCGTCTCAGTAGTTGTGGACGTGCCTTCCTCAGTAGTTGTGGACGTGCCCTCCTCAGTAGTTGTGGACGTGCCCTCCTCAGTAGTTGTGGACGTGCCCTCCTCAGTAGTTGTGGACGTCCTGTGAGTAGTCGTGGACCTCGACTCCTCGGTGGTGGTCGAGTGGCACTCATGTGTGGTGGTGGTCGAGTGGCACTCATGTGTGGTAGTGGTCGGATGGCACTCGGGACTGGTAGTAGTCGGATGGCACTCGGGACTGGTAGTGGTCGGATGGCACTCGGGACTGGTAGTAGTCGGATGGCACTCGGGACTGGTAGTAGTCGGATGGCACTCGGGACTGGTAGTGGTGGAGTGGCACTCATCAGTTGTGGTACTCTGGCATTCCGGCTCGCACTCAGAGGCGGGTTGTTTGATCTTTTGCTGTGTGGTTTCATCAGCCCACGAGTCGGTATGGTCGTCGAGCGCGAGCTCGTCTGGTCCGTGCGTTTCGTGGTCGGCAGAATGCACCAAGCGGGTGGTTTGTTCCGCAATGCGTTGCGTTTGCAGCTGGTGCCGAAGTGAGCCAATGACAGTACAGTCGCTGGCTAAAAACTTGCCGATGTTTTGAGCGCGGTAGAGGCCTTTGCAATACTCAACAGTGTGGTCGTTGGTTAAAGAAATCACCCTGTCCACAAGAGCGTCCTTAAACAAGGCACTGCCTTCAAAAGAGCAGAATTCATAGGGTAACTGTGAGTACTGGTACAGACACTCTTGTTCAGATACGTAAAAGTCGTCTGTGCCATAGTATACCTTCGGGTTCATATCAAGATCGCTGATTGAGATTGAAGAGCACCTACATTGCCCCTCACCAGCATACAACGGAACGGGGTACCACACCTCGTCCAAATCAATCGTACCTGAAACGGCGCCCTCCTGCGCGCCGTTCTTTTGGGGAGAAGCACCAGCTTCTCCATAGTTGAAAACATGTATCTCTCGCCCCTTAACTCCGTCCAGAACGGCAGTCGTTGTCAACAGAGCAAACAAAGTAAACCTCATAGTAATATACCCAAAACTTTAAATCTTACAAAAACTCAAGCGCGAACGTCTCCAAAAAAGGAGACCTGCAGCACCCGGCCATTATTAACCAAACTTACACGCGGATTCGAACCCACACGGACTCAACCCGAACTCTTCCCGAGGCCCAAACGGGATCTGAATCGTTGATCTATGCTATCACAGCGACCCCCCCCTAGTATAATCAAAACTCCCAACAAGGGCAATCAAGTCAGTCAGCACCCAGCGCCCGGCTGACCTGACCTCTCATTATCACCACCGGAAAAAACCCTAACACGGCAGCTTTCGCTACTACTTTCGGATGCGCACGGCGGTTGTCACACCGCTATGGTTGAATCCGTCAGATTGGTGTTTCGTTGTTGACCATTTTGCGTGCTGCCATTGTCTTGCTGGCGCGTTAGATCTTCTTCGCCCGTTGGGTCTTGCTGGCGCGTTAGATCTTCTTGGCCCGTTGGGTCTTGCTGGCGCATTAGATCCTTCGGGTCGCAAGGGTATTCTTGGCCGAGGAGTGCTAGCCTGTGTTGTTGTCGGGGTTTGGTGGTGGCGTCTAGGGCCGATTCGAGTTGGGACCAAAGGAGTGTGACGAGGGAGGATGCGGAGCCGGCGGCGAGGAAGGTGTAGAGTGCCCACTGGTTGGCGCTGCCTTCGGGTAGGAGCCACCAGTCCCAGCCACCTGTCCAGGTGTGGTAGTAGCGCCAGCCGCAAGTGCAGACAGCGAGAACGCCGCTGGCGACGCCTGCGGTGACACCGCTAGGTGTGACGAAGTCCCAAAGCGATAGAAGCAGACCGGCGGCGGTGCAGGTGCAAATAAGGTTCATGGCCATGAAGAGTGTCATGACCTGGGGTGGGTTTTTGATCACGAGAGCGAGACCAATGAGAGTCATGACGAGGGTGCAGAGGCGCGCATAGTTGACGTTGATGGTGAGCTTGAACGCGGCGCACTGCGCGATGACAAAGGTGGTGAAGGATGAACTCATCGTGTCGACGGTGGAGGTGGACAGAAATGTCGCCAGGACGAGGACTACGCCGTTCCAGGCGGGATGGAGTAGCGTGAGTGCGGAGAAGACCGAGGGGTCTGCGTCGTCAATCAGTCCCGCATCGGCGGCAGCGCCGGCCACCAAGCCCATGAACCCGAACAGCAGCATAGGCACCATCAAGGCGAGTGCGGCAATCAGGAGCCCGAACTTGGCTTCGCGTTCACTCTTAGCCGCATACATGCGAGACCATGTGGCCGGGTCCAAGAAGGTAGGATACCAGCAAGAAATCGTGAGGACCAGTAGACTCAAAAAACCGTCACCTGTCCACTCCATCCGGTTCCGAATGAGGTTCTCGGGGATGTCTCGGACGGCACAACCAAAAACGCCGATACTCGTCAATATCACCAAACAGCTGATCGCCGTGAACTGGAACCGATCTGTCAACAGCGTCGCCTGCAAACCACTTATGGCCGTGTACGAGAAGACACCAATAGCCACACTGACCGTCAACACCACAGGCCGCACGTTAGGGGAAATTGCCTGGACGGTCAGTGATAGACTTATGCACTCAACCACGTAGGATAGGAATACAGTCGCAAAGGTTGCCACGCTGTAGACGATGTGGTTTGCAAGACCCAGTCGCACCCGAATGAAGTCCGTACTTGTAAACCCCCGGCCCGCCGTTATGCGACGCATTCTCGGACCGAACACCGCCACGCAGACCCATGGAAATGATGTCGCCACTGCGTAGCCTATAATGCCCCACAAGCTGTACTCCAAAGCAATCTCAGCCGGCGCCGTTAGGACCCAACAACCCAAAGTAGTCGAAAAGAACGAACACGTTATCGACCACCAGGGCTGCGTATTCCGCGCCGTCACAAACTCCTCCGTCGGCCTCACGTACTGAGAAATATTGTGCAGTCACTCCCAACCCCCGCTCACTTACGCTTTTCACCTTCCGGCCGAAATAAGGCCACAACGTCGCAACCAAACTAACCGACACCAACGCGCCAAAAAACAATCCATATGCGCTCTCCGACGGCACAAAGTTCTAACCGAGAGAGCAGATTCCACGCGCTTAATATGCAAAATGCAAGCCTGCCACATACTGGCTTCCCCTAACGTGCGCGCGTCGTCGCGCACACGTGTGTGTATTAATTACCCGCTGGATTTCCCCCTCTTCTTGTAGTCCCACACGAATCTTCATACAACAAAACTGCCAGTATGATTATTTCTGGTGATATTGCCAAAACAGGCAAATTAAATTGCCAAAACAGGCGAATTAAATTGCCAAAACAGGCAAATTAAATTGTCAACTGCCGAGTGAAAATCCGAAAAAAATTCCCCAATGCAACTGGACAACAATGACAGCGAACAGAATCAATTATGCGACCCTGGAGTCCCGCTTCTATCAATACGTGCTCGATCGCTTCGAGTTGTTCATGGGTAAACTCGTCCGCTGGAACTGTTACGAAACCGCTGAAATAAAGCAACGCAACAACTCTGAATAAATCTGCCTGGGTAAGGATTATTTCTGGCTTCGCTACCAAAGAATTGTAATCAAAACGAGAAAGACGCTTTATCGTTATGGGATCCACCAGTTGCAACATCTACGCGAAAAATAAATTAGAAGGCAAAGGATGAGGTAAGATTTTTGCGAGGGGAGAAGCTTACAGCTTGTGTGGTGAATTTATATTTTTCCGGTGTTTCCTGTTCTGATCCACCTTGTCGGTGATTCCGTTGAAGAAGCTTGGATCTAAATTGCTTACAAACCCGCAGTATTGGTAGAATACATTCAGTGTCCAAATCCTTGAAGGGGGCGGCAAGCCAATATACGAGTCTTTTGCAGAAATGGAAAGGGAAAGCATATGCCCAGTCGTCGTTAATGGCTGGTCCCATACTCCTTAGAAGAATTATTTGGAATCTTCCTTCGTCACGGTGGTGAGCAAAGCTGACAGGATAAAAGCCCAAACTGGTAAAATTATGCTTATAGGCCTCAATGGTGGTGATTAGGCCCATGTACGAAATCTCATGCCGGTTTTCAGTATCTCTAATCGGGTCAGACCAACGAGGCAGTTTCTTCGTCGGTATGACGTAGGTGTCACTCACAGCATTCGCCTCTGATTGCATTGCCTCTTCCTGAATCGTGGTGTCGGCGGTGATGGTTGTGGCGACGGGTTTGTTGTAGTGGGCTATGACCTGCTCCACTAGAGCTTGAGCCGTGTCTTCATCAAGCCCTCCAAAGCGTTCAATGCGTACTCCTGACAGATTACTAAAGCCGGACCCCGGATAAGCATTATCTATAATCCAGTTTACATTCCGCTGGTTGCGATTCGTGTACTCCGTCATTGCCTTTCCCTCCACCATTGTCTCGCACGCGCCAATGATGGAGTCTCGACGAAAGTCGTGCCCTTCTCGGTCCAGGGCTACCCAGACTTCTCGACCAGGTGCATCACTCATTAACAAGAGATCATCAGGTGAAGCATTCCATGACATCCGGTTAAGCAACTCGACCACCCTCTCCAGACACTCCTCACTCTGTCGAGTAAAGCCGAACAACCAGTCACGATTCATTCTACGAACGTGTATCTTGAACTTTGTCTCCTTCATTGGATTCATCACTCCCTTCTTAGCATTTTTGTTGGTAGAACCAGATTTGTTGGTGGAACCAGACCTATTAGCGATAGAACCACACCTACTGGTAGAACCACACCTACTGGTAGAACCAGACTTACTGGTAGAACCAGACTTACTGGCAGAACCAGACTTACTGGCAGAACCAGACTTACTGACAGAACCAGACTTACTGGCAGAATCAGACTTACTGGCAGAACCAGACTTACCGACAGAACCAGACTTACTGGCAGACTTATTAATAGAACCAGGCTTGTTGGCAGCACCACGCTTGTTGGCCATGCTAGTCGTTTCACTTGCCTTCCTCAGTTTCTTTGCCGGACCTTCTATCCTAGTCTCGGTTAGTATCTGGTTGACGACATTATCTCCTTGCGATTTTTCAATAGGCTGTTGTTGCGTTGTCTTCGTGCTTACCTTCCTGACCCCGAGAACTCCAATCTTCTTGACTGCGACCTTTTTTGGGGGGGGATGTTTCTTCTCCAGCGAACGCCCCCCCTCAGTATCGTCTCCCTTGCCCATACTCACGATTATTTTTTCCCCGCACCCGACCGATTCTGCATCGACTTTATTGACGTAGCCGGTTTGGCCCTCTTGCCACTTTAGGCTGCTTAGTAAAATTCCTCGTGCGCATCTACCTTGTACGGGTCTGTCCCTTGAACATCAACACCGTAGGTTGCAGCGCCATGCGTCGCTGTCCTGTTAGCAGCCTGCCAACAGCCTTTGCCGGTTGAACAATCAGTTGAACAGTCAGTTGAGCAGCAGTACTTGCCCCAGAACGAACGTTTTGCAGCGTCTAGCCGGACTGAGGCCTTTCTCAGGCGCGGGGGCAAGGGAGCTTCTTCGTAAAGACAGTACTCTTTGGTTACGGTAGGAATGCCGGTCCACGCAGCGGCTGCGGACTTGTCAATGCACCGCTTCTCCGCTGCCGATAACCCCCTGTAGGGTTCGACTGGAAACAAGTCATAAATTTCGGTAGGGCCATGCATCGGTTGTTCCCTTGGTCGTTCCCTTGATCGTTCTCTTGAGCCTAAGTCGCCGTCAGCTGGCCTACCCTCGACTGCCTTGCTGGCAGCAGGATTCGACTCGTCACTGCCTGCTTGGGGCAAGCCGGTCGAAAGGTTCCCGTTGAAGAGCGATCCGCCAATGAGCGGCGTGTTAAGGGTTTTCTTAATGTGCTGCTGCATCAAAGCCAGCTTTAAGTTTTGCTGCTGCGATCCGGGGCAGAGGTCGGCTAACTCTTGCGGCAAGGTCAGGCTCACGTCCGGATCATAAGCAGGCAGATGACCCTCAACAAACTCCGTGTAGCTCTCCATGCACCTTCCGTCCTCCGCACCTTTGTACCTTTGCTATCGCCCTCCCCATCTTTGTCGCCATACTTATCCGATCTGCCTCCCCCGAAACAGTATCTCCTGACATCCAGCTTGATCCAGTCGGTATAAAAACTCCACCAAGTCTCGACCGTTAAGGCCGATTAAAAAAATAAGATGCGAGGCATACAAGCCATCAGCAAACCCGACGAGAGATCTGCTAATCATTTAACCCTGCTTGCCTCTGCTGGGGCCAACTGGGTAACAGGTGGTCTCATCGCTGGCGGCCTCATTGGCCAAATCGGGGGAGCGGTTCAGGGCTGGCCGATGATTGTCGCTTCGAGGGAAGCCGACGTGCAAATGATTACGCTTCTTGGTGCAGGCGCTTTCACCCTCGTTCTAGTCGCAGCCATGATAATCATGTTCGCTCTAAGAAGGCCCGATGACGACGAGTCGTTGTATGACGACGATT